TTAGGTATGATCTTGTAGAGAATTTGGCAGCGCATCTTTTAAAAAAGACATCGAGTCTCGGAAACAAATTCAAACCAAGTTATAAGCAAAATACTGAGAGGGACATTATTTATGGCCCACCCGTTAATATAACAGAAATAAGATAAAAATTCCATCTTTGTATTGTTAATCCTTATCGACTTTCTAGTGAATCCTTAGGTGTTTATAATATATTTTCTCGAAGAGATTCGTAAGCTTAAATCCAGAAAGTCGCTTTGATAATTAATAGGCATTTGTATCTAGATTCTATCAGAGTCATGTTTTTAAATTCCTTCAATTTTTCAAAGTTTTCTAAGCCCGAAATATTACATACATGTATGAAGGTCTGAAAATGTCGCTGTGCACATAAAAGGAAGCCTAATTCGAATAGCGAACTGGTCACGATTAATTTATCCACCAAACAAAAGACGTTTTAGAAGACGTAGAGCAGGGAAAAGCTCCACAGAATGCGAAAAAAGAATAAAAATCGATTTTTAAACGCAGCCTATCGAATCAAGAGATGAGTGTGGTTGTGTTTTTTTGATGACTTCTTATGGAAGCTAGCTCATGGGCGCGTTTTCCAAGATACTGTAGCCAAGAGATCGGTACATTCTTCAGAGTTTACTACCTTTCATGAAAGTAGATTTGGAGCCGAAGAGGCAGGTTCCTTAATTCTCGAGCCGATTTCCATTTACAATGGTTTCTGATGTTATCAGTTTCCGTATGAAATCCAATATTGGCCTAAGTTGTATGCGAGGATTCCCAAAAATGGATGGAAACATAGATTATAGATCGTTGTGAATCTCGAGACATTGTTTGTCTTCACAAAAAAATGAAACTTTTGTTCTCTAATCACGACTTGACTTGTTTTATTCAAGGTGGACCTTATTGTTGTATGTTCATCATCCGATAAACTAAAAAATGTAGTATTACAGGCTGCTGGTAGCGCAGTATCAAGAGAATATCGACAAAAACTAAAATCAAATTGCAATTCACCAATATCTGTGGCACCTGGACAATTATCATGTAAAAAAATACTTTTTGATCATTGGAAACCCAACGACAACAATGCTACACTTCACCGTCAGTCAGTTCACGACTTTGTTTCAACAGGAATGCAATACGCAATTAATAAAAACTTTAGTACCATAGCATTTCCAGCTATTGGGTGTGGAGATTATGGGTGTGATGTTACGACCATAGCAAGAGAAATGATCGACGCTGCAGACAATCAGCTACGTTCGATGGATTACTTGTTACATGTTTATTTTATAATTCACCAACAACAACAGAACGTTTACGATATCTTCATGCAGCACCTACAAAGTTCAAAACACAATCGATCGGGTAATTGAATTATTGGGTTAATAAATAACTATTTTAAGAAGCAGCCTAAGAATTTTCCTTTAATTAATATACATTTTTATCTTTTTTCCGCTTAAAGGTTTCGCAACTTTTGTTTTCTCTAATTTATTTAGCATCACCAGTATACAGTTCTTCATCTGACTCTGATGGGTACATACAATCGAAGAAACCACACGAGCAACGTAAATATAGTCTCAGAACAACGAAACAAGATTTACGAACGCCTGTATTTGATAATCAGTTGCGTTGTGCACTTAATTCAGGGTCAGAGGAGTATACGTCTGTTTTACGTAGATTTCAAAACACTATGCAGCAACAAAACAACAGTTATTCACGAATAATTGCTATTGAGCAAATTCATAATGCAACATGGCTATTGCAGTATGAAGTATATCGTAATGGATTATTTGACCAATTAAGAAAAGATACCGAACAGTTCTTATTCCATGGATGTAGAGATACCGTCGTTGACAATATAATCAAACGAGGTTTTGATCGAAATCATGCCGGTGAAATTCATGGTAAGTTATACCTTTCAACTTTGAAAACAGTTCGGACTAATTTCTTTGAACTTCTCAGGTACAAGCTACGGTCGAGGTGTCTATTTTTCAAGCAGTGCATTTGAAAGTCATCAGTATACGATACCGAACCAAAGCGGCGAACGTTATATGTTTTTAGTTCGTGTTCTTCTTGGAAATACAATGCTAGGAGATAGTTCAGTTCAGTATATACCAGATGGTTATCATACAACAACCAATGGAAAAAGCATTTTTGTTACATACCACGATTCTCAAGCGTATGCAGCTTATTTAATTATTTATAAATGACGATTGTTATAAAAAAACCATTAAATTATTAAAAAGTACATTTTACTATAAAAAGCATAAAAACAACTGATGTGGCAGACTAAATTGCTAACTTTTGCAAGGTTTTTCCCACGTTAAGCTTGATCAGAAAATATTATTTTCATACTGAAAGCTAAAATTTTATATAGATGTTAATTATATATATTTTTTCCAAATAAGCATTTGCCGCTTTTGTAGAAATAAGAGTATTAGAACTCGCAAAGGCAATGTACGACTTGATTTATACTTGTTAAACAGTTTTCCGTTGGAACACAGTCATAAAAACTAGACTACAGTTTTTATACTTTAGGTAGCAAACTAAATTTCAGGGCGATGTTTTACAGTCATAATCTACAAAATACGGCTCTTTATCAGCCCTTTACCTCGCAAGAAAATATCTCAACTTTGTTATTTGTTGTCAAATCGAACTAAGCGTTGGCAAGACTGGAATCTTGTAGAATCTAGTGCATAAACGTTTTAAGAGGTCGTCAGTATACAATAACTATATGGGTATCTGTATTATGCCATTTTTCTTGTAAGGAAATAAGGATATACTACTGTTGCTTTCCTGATATTAATTCAAGGGGCAAAAGTAGACTCTTGTGGACTCCTACGGACTCCTGTGGACTCCTGAAGTCCAGGAGTCCATGGGAGTCCAGGAGTCCATAGGAGTCCGCTTTTTCCCCCTTGTATTAATTTCACACTTCGGTTTCAATAGCTCTTCTAAACATTCATGAGCTGCTAAATTCGATGATGGGTTGAGAAGAAGAGCCATCTTCTCAATCCATCATCGAATTTAGCAGTGAGATATGTGTATACACATACAACAGACAAACAGTATACTGTTTGTCTGTTACTACTGAAAATACTGTTTTTGAGAAAAACCGAAGGGGTTTTGGGGAAAATAAGATTTTCTCAGCATCCAAAAGGTTGTAGAGCCTAACTAGAAAATGGTATACCTACTTTTATATGCTAAATCGAATGGAAATGGTTTCGGAGAAAAATAAATTTGACCTCTTGACGGCAATCCTCGGTCTAGCCAAAAAGTCTCTCTTTAACTCTTTACCCCCGGTGGGGATTTTTTGAAAGGAAAGGTGCCTACTAAAGTGGAGCTTTTGAGTGCTCACTATGCCAATTCCACACTTAAAACAGAATGAAGTTGCTAGGTGACAGAATATAAAATGTCCCCAGGTGTGGACATTAGGAGGGGGGAACAACCTGAAAAACGCAGTTTTTTTCTTTGTGTTGTCCGAACTTGTTCCGTCAAAATTCAACGTTTTCAGAAAAACAAGGTCATATTGGGAATTAGCGTCAAAAACTGGATCAAATGACATGGATCTTAGTGTTTTGGGGAATATCAACATTCTTCCAAAATCCGTTTTCTAGACCCAGTTTTTGATAGAGAGTAAGAAAAAAATTGTTCTAGAATTTTAAGAATAGAATGAATGGTTGAATTTTGAGTTGTATTCAAAATTTTGACTATTTTCACATATTTTTGAAAACTCGACATTTAAAATTTTTTTAACTGAAAAATGTGTTTCAAAATTGGGGGCTTAAGTTTTTTCTATGCAACTCGATGTGCTCTATCCAACCATGGCGAAAAACGAAAAATAAAGTTCTGCACCTTAAAAGAAAAGATGAGAAAGAAAGAATATGTATATGTTTAAAAATTAGCACTTTCTATGTCACTCCCCTCTAATGTCCACAGGTGTGGACATTTCATTACTGGACACAGTGCATCAAGACTACTTTCCACAAAATTTCTTTTCTTGTGTAATTGTAGAAAGGATCCTTGTACCAATAGTTATCTACCACTACATCTGAAAATCCTTGTATTGCTAAAGCTATGGAAAAAGCTTTTAAAAAAATTCAAAAATTTGAAACTCTTTAATTTCAAAAGTTAGTTATCTTGGTCAAGATCCATAGAAAAAAATGTCTTTTGTACCCGTCGAGAGCTTATGAAGTCTCTAAGGTTAAAACAAAATTCCGTTCTGGTATGATACTTCGTTATTTTTCTAGACTAATGTTAAAAAGAAAAATATTAAACGACTAATATTAAATATCAATTAAATATCTTTCCATCTTATTTAAATATTAGTCCGTTCAATATTTTTCTTTATTTATATATGCAATTCGAATTTCAAGTAAAAAAATTTTTTCGCGTTTTTTTAATGTCATTTGATAGAGCGTAAGCTGCTGATCACTAAAATCTACCTTTTAGCCTTAGCAAATGCTTCCTTTCGGTCGAAAAATGCGAAATATTTCGAAGGTGTCGTTTTCTTCAAAAAGCACATCTTTTTCAAAATGTGCAAGATTTTCTACTTTGTACTTTTTCTCAGCTTCTGGAAGTAAGTTTTTCAGATTCAGCATCAAAAACTGAGTATAGACAAGTTGTTAAATCGACTCCAGACAAAAAACCTTTATTGGTGGTGGCGCTTCGAATCGTGTCGAATGCACTACGTATAGTTCGATTTTGTAAACCTATCTAGTTTTTTCTACGTAAGCGATGAAGAGAGGAGGAATACCCTTAAAAAAGAAATATGTGATTGATTTTCATGCATAAATAAATAGGTTTCTCTGGCGATAATGCCATCCTTTGTTTATTTTACTATAAGCTGTGAACAATGTATTTCTAATCAATCATTGTTACACTATTAGTGGTATAACAGTAGCTAGGCTACTGTTATACTACTAATAGTGTAACAACGATTGATTAGCTACTGTTATACCACTAATAGTGTAACAACGATTGATTAGAAATTTATAAAAACCTATATAAAACGAAAAATATTAAACGACTAATATTAAAAGTCAATTAAAAAGTTTCTTCTATCTGAACTAATAAATGTTTTTCTTGTTGTAAGATAGAAAAATATTAACGTTTTTCGCCTAGGAGAGCAAAATATTTAAATAAGGTGAAAAAAGTCAGATTCCGCATATTCGTACCATCGTGGTAGGTTCAAACTGCGACATCAGTTCCTTCATTCACAATGACATAAACGGAATAGAAAAATATTTAATTATTTTAAAAGAAAGGATTTTCGTTTTCTATAGATTAATTCGAAAATCGAAAGTCTTAATAGAAGAGGGTACAAGAAGTACTCTTTAACAAGTTCAATTTTCAATTTTGATCCCAGTTAACGAATGGTAACGAAAATTTTATTTTACTGACATATTAGCTCCGATCAATGAGCCTTTACAGTGTAAGTCACATCACTATCGGGTGATTAATCCTTTGTATTTTGAAGCCTACAACTATGACCGGTACAATAATAGGATTAGATTTCCAGTCTTGTAATGTTGTTTTTGATGAGTCTAAAACTAAAAACTGCACTTTAAGACTACAAAAAAAAATTTTTTAATAAAACTCGAGCAGTCTTCTTTATTATGTATTTTTATATATAGTGATGTACAAAGATATCTGCTCTTTCAAATGAGGTTTGAACTGACTCTCTAGCATTAGTAGTAAAAGAGTTATATGAAAAACAAAATCCTCGGTTTATTTTTCGCCAACTCGATATGCTTAATACTGCCTTGTGTTTTTCTGAAACAGACTTTATAACTCCAACATCTGTGTTCTCAGATCGTTCAACTGCGCGGAAAAATTTTATTTTAAAAGTATTAAAAAAATTAAAATTTTTGTGAAAGACCGGTTTTTCGCCTGTTACTAGCAAAAATCCTTATATCTCGCTCAAATCTCATCCTGACTCAAGGAAACTTTGAGGAAACGCTCAGGACAGCTCATAAATCATAATCGAAGACGAAAAATGTGAATTTCGGCTGGGCATTGCTTTAAGGTTTTCCCGAAACCTTCTGGAAAACCTAAAAGTCTCAGTCTTCTACTAGACCACCTTTTCGGCTTTTTTAACAATATATGGCGCCTTTTAAGTCTTTCCTGAAGGTTTCCTTCAGTCAGCATGAGATTTGAGCGAGATATAAGATTTTTTGCTGGTAACAGGCGAAAAACCAGTTTTTCACAAAAATGCCTCTGGCGAAGTAATATTCATTTCAACACAAAAACAAATGTTTCCACTATGCTCAGCATAGTCGATTACCTATATCCCATGGCATTTCGAGATTCCCAGAGATGTCTACTGGGAGATAGACACGTGGTCGGGAAAGCGAGCCCTGGCCGAACGACGATAGCTGGAGAGCTGGCACTTACATAATTTTATAGAGTAACGTCCGGACTACCTACACAAGCAAACAAATTACTAACATTGTATGTTAATTTTCTGAGAATGTAGCTGGTTTTTCAAAGATCCTCTGAAAAATCGGACTTCTAGAAAATTCTTGTTCTAATGGAAGGGTAGATTCATATGGTAATGCTGAACTGTCTCGGTGCAGTAATATTATCTTTATTCAGGATTGGCTGTAACACCTCTCGCCAATAGTCTTCCCTAGCTTGTCGATGTTCTAAATCCTGGTATCCACTTTCGAACGGAATGATTTCTAGATCTCTCATTGAGTGATTGTGACTACTGAAGTGTATACCTATACTGGTTTTTCTTATCCTTCTTACTTGATAGAGGTATCTTATTAAACGAAAGTGTCCAGAATTTCCCGATTCACCCACGTATTCCACAGTACATCGTTTACATCGGATATAGTAGCAGATGTTCGTTGTTCGACAAGTAATATATTGTCGAATCTTTATCTCTGTCCCAAAAACAGTACCAAGAAAAGAAGAACATTCTCTACTGTATTTGTAACAGGAACATCCTACTCGGTGGCATTTAAAAAATCCGGTATTCTAGTTCATCTATGTTGGGGCTAAATATTTGAGGTTTCCCGTATATTCTCGATGTACAAGTATCTGTTTCAGATTAGGGGGACATTTGTAGACAAATCTATATTTCGACCAGTTTACTGTGTGTTTCGAATGGTTTTCAAACGTGTATTTTATGTTTTTCAGTTGTTTATTGTATGTCAGTGAGATAATCTTTTTATAATTATATTTTTCTGTTGTCACTTCCGTATCTCGCATTTTCAGTAATCGTTCTCGGTGTAGTTGATCGACTTTTCTGATTTTTAATAAAACCAAGTTTCCGTTATGGCCACGTTCCAGCAGGCGTAGAAAGATTTCGGCATATGCTTTCCATTTCTCTGTATCATCCGAACATATACGTTTCACACGATGTGCCAATGTAGTAGCTATGTTTTCAATAATATGTTTCGGATGAGCCGATTTCTCTCTTACAAACTGAAACATGTCCGTTGGTTTAACGAAAATTTTTGTCGCTAATTGATTTTTCACGTAGTCTTTATAAACGAACACATACAAAAAACTGATCTGCTCATGCTCAATATTTTCAGTTTTGTATTTTAAGTTAGGATGAATATTCTGTAATTTATCCAGAAATTCTTCAAATTTTCTTTTTTCTCCTAACCAAATAAAAAAGACATCGTCTGGGTAGCTAAACCATCTTAACGGTTTCAAGTCTACTTTTTGTAAATGTTTCAACTCATGAATTAAAACAAATGTATTTGCATATGGAGGAGCACAAAGAGTTCCCATTGCCGTTCCAAATTTCTGTTTATAGAATTTTCCAGCTAAGCTAAATACATTATTTTCTAATACCATTTTTAATAATGTAAAAGAGCACTGGTTGTCTTAATTTTATTTGTAGATAAGAACTATTTTCTTTAGCAAATTTGGCTACTTTTGCTGCACCCTCCATAATTGGGATATTCGTATAAAATGACTTAATGTCTGTTGTAGCAAAATATATTTGTTTTAAGTCATACGATTTTTCCTTTATCTTCTTATTTAACTCAATAATCTCACTAATCAAGCGTGTTGTACTATCAAGAACATGATAAAATGAGATATGGAACTTTTCTTTTGGGGTATTCCCTGTTTTTTTCAAATGTTTAATTCCATCTCGGACAGTTTCGTATGTTGTCCACATTGGATTCTCAGAAAGTTCCTCATAGCTCTTTTTATCTTCTAATAATGCATATGTTTTAGCTTCATATACTTGACATTACAACAGTGCCTTGACCTTTGTCCGCTTGTTTTATTACAATATCGTTTCATCGTTTTAAATTATTCAATGACTTATACTGAGATCTATGCATGTTTGGACTAAACGGATCTGAATTGTAAACTATGGAGTCCCGAATTAGACCGACATTCATTTATAATTCGGGATATCTATTCGCTGTCAATTCAAGATCAGCTTTCAATTGATCCTCTATACTCAATTTTTTGGAGGGAATATAGTTCGAACCATATTCCAAGACATTTAGTTCATCCCTATCTAGGACTACATTTCCTATAGTGAAAACACTATTCGAAACCCGTATTGGTTCCGTTTGAGCTCAGTCATGCATAGTCCTCATAAGAAGTCGTTGATTAGGATTTATATTAGTAGAGATGGTAGCAGTTTCGGGGTTATTTATTATTATTATTATATTGATTTCCCCCACAGAATGTTCTATTGAAATGACCTCTTCGTATATTTCCATTATTTTGTCCAAGTACTCTCGTATCAGACAGAGATCAAATAATAGTAGTAAGGATTCCTTACTACTATTATTCGATCTCTGTCTTGGCTGCTCCTGCATTAATTGGTAATTTCTAGCCCACGTACGTTGTGGTAGGCTCTGATGTACCAATAATGGCGTATACTTTTTTTCCCGAATATAGTCTGATTCCGACGCTATTGCCTTTAATCTATCGATCATGGTATTATTTTGAACACCCGGTGTTCGGTGTTCCACATTTTCAACAGTTCCATTTTTTGCTATGCGATTATCAGTTATTGAATAATAACCATTCGTTCTATTATTCATATTTTCATCTGTACAATATCTCTGTATGTGGCCAGTTTTGCCACATCGGAAACATTGAACTCTTTTTCTCTCTCTTTTATTCTTTATCCAACAAAATTCCGTAGAATGATGTTTTTTTGACCACAATTGTCGCATTTTTCATTACAATTAAATTTTAAATGTCCGTCTTTACCACATCCGGTACATTTCTTTTTTTCTCGTCTTCTATATTTGTTGACACCCTTCGATAGTATAGTTGGCGTCCCATCAGAATCATTCAACGGCATTTCTGAATTCTCTTGGACATTATCGATATTTATTGAAATATAATTTGGCGCAATTTCTTTCATTTCCAAGCGGAATATTTCATTCCAAGCTTTTTCGATAAAATTCACTCGTCCCGCTTTCGATATCCAGCATGTGCTGTTCTTTTTTCATTTTTAGTATTTTCTCTCGTAGAGTTTCAAGTTTTAGTCTCGTCTCATCAATAGTCTTTCGAATGGCATCCGCTTCACATTGCAAAAATGCTTTTCTCATATCGGATGCTATTTGTTCCCATCTTTTTCGGACTGAGGGATCCTTTGCTCCAAATATTTGGATAGGTATTTCAAAATGAAACGTGCGTGGTATTATGTCATTTTCCGCATAATAGCGATTAATCACCAAATGGTTTCGAAATCGATAAAACCGCTCATACTCTTGTCTATATACGTCCAATGTATCTTCTTCCGTCGTTACCGATGTCCATTCCGTTTGCAACGAAATGTTTCTTGATACACCTAGACAGATTTTACAAGTGGTATTATTTCCGTGTTCTCCAGCACAATGATCAATTTTGTTTAACTTAATATTATGAATTTTTACTCCACAATCTGTTGTTAACCACCATTCGCGGTATATCCGAAAATCTTCTACGATTTCTTCCGTGGGATTTTTCCACACAGCTTCAATAGACATATCTAGGCTCATATCTGTCTGACATCCTACTCCAATCCAAACTAGAATATTATTTGTTGTTGTTACTATTCTGGATTGTGAAGATGAATTTCTTCTCTGGTTATTCATATTTTTTTCCTCCACCCCTATTGCTTCTGTTTGGCAACTTATAGACTTTTTTTGTACATAACCAGTATTCGTTGTCAGATTTGCAGTCAAAACTGATGATGACGGCGATGCCCGTTTACTGTATTTATTGTTCTACTAATATCTTTCCTCCCCTCAGTCTGATTACAATGCACAAATTGAGCTAGTTCATCATTGTACGAAAGAGTATTTTCTGATCTATAAAAGTATCTAGTAACAACTTCAAGATGTTCATTATTTAACCAATCCGGTTTATTATCTCTTTGTTCCTGATTCAAATTGACCAACATTAAGTGTAGCCTATTGAAGTCAGGTCTTGAACCATACATAGTCCAGATTTCTATCCATTTCTCTTCTGTTTTTACAAATTTTTGATGTGCTCGACAAAATGCCGACCAAGATTGGACAAGATAGCTTTGATCTTTTTTTATCTTCTTATAGGTCAGATCAAGAAAATGAGAGAAGGCTTCTTGGACTAGTTCTCTATTCATTATTTCCTATCAAAAAAAAGGGAATAAAAAAGAGGTAGCTACCGTGAGTGGGATACACAAAAAAATATATAAATATATAAAAAAGTAGTTATCAGTCTCAAAGTTGAAATATATTAAGTTGTTGTATTATTGTAGTTTCTAATACGTATAATAATACATGTACCATAAAACAGTAAATACGTTAGACCAAGAAACTTGAATATAAAATTGAATAATAAATTTGAATAATTCAAATACGATTTAAAATTAAATAGAACCTGCGCGACAAACAAAGTATAAATTATAAAAAAATGAGTATGAATCAATAATTATGTAAATATATGTCACTGTAATTTCGCTCACGAAATTGTTGCGTATTACTTGTTGCGTACCAGTATTTAACGAGCTGCTTCGATTCTTTAAAAGAATGAAATCACCACACGCAGCAACATAGAAATCGCACTCCTAAATCACCCTTTTCTGCACTATAATTAAGTTATTGTGCAATATCAATATCATATTCGGAATCAGCATCAAAAACTGGATCGAACGATTTACATATCAGATAATTTGGTTGATTTCAATTTTTTAGTGAAAATCTGGCTCACTTCTCAGATGAAAATTCACTAAAAACTTGAAGTCAACCAAATTATTTGATATGTAGATCGTTCGATCCAGTTTTTGATGCTGATTCCGAATATGATATTGATTTTACACAATAACTTAATTATAGTGCAGAAAAGGGTGATTTAGGGGTGAGATTCCTATTTTGCGGCCTCTGATTTGGAAAAAACCAGTATTCTCAGCAAGAGAAGAGGATCAGGAAAAAAGCGATGCGTACTTTTGTTCAACTTTAAATGGCGGTTCGAGTGACGTATGATGATCGGAGAAAAGTTTCAAAACCAGGGAGGAGATAGGTTTGC